CCCCCATTGGCTGCGGGCCCCCCCAACACCAGGGCTCCCCCCATCTCCCCCCCCACGTCAGTCCGTCCCGCTTCCAGCTGCTGCAGCCGCGCCTTCGCCGACTCGGCATCCAGCAGCCCCTGCTTCGGTCCAGCATGGCGACCCCGACCCAGACACCCACCACGGGTGAGCGTCGCCTGGGGAGGGGGTGCAGGGGAGCTCCGGTATCCGAGAGCTGAGGAGAGAGGGTGTGGGGAGGTTCCAGAATTGCTAAGGGAGGGGAGGGGGTGTCCGCTCCTCCCGTGGGAGGAGGCCCCTGTCGTGTACCCCTGGACGCTCCTCCTGGTCGCTTGGACAGCGCCTTCCCGGAGGTGTCGCCCCGGTGCGGGACCCGCGGTTAGAGAGTGGCAGTCTTGGGAGAAAGGATGCTCGGACAGGTCGCTATGGCAACCGGGTGGCTGGTCCAGCACAGTGGTGGTGGCAGAGGGGAAGACATGGGCTTCGAGGGTGGGAGCGGATGGATCTGCAGCCAGAGAGGTTCTCGCAGATTACAGGGTCCCTGGGGTGGGCGGGGGTCCGTATCCCTCTTCCTTCCAGCTTTCTCCTATGGTGGGTGTTTCCTGAAATCCCTGACAGGCAGGTTCAGAGGGAAGGAGGGAGAGCTGGAGGAAGTGAGAGAGAGAGAGCGATGGAGAGAGAGGATGGAGAGAGAGATAAAAAGAGATATGGATGAAGATTGACTGAGAGAGCCTGAAAGAGATAGAGTGAGACCAAGAAAGACAGGACATCCAGCATCAGAGACACAAAGAGAGACCCAGAGAGAAATACACATAGAGATGAGACTGGGAGAGATTTGGAGAGAGTGAAGGGGAGAGGCAGAGAGCGGTAGACAGAGATGCAGACAGAGAAAATCGAAGACAGAGGGACACTGAGATTGAGACACTACGGACAGGGAAGCACAGAGAAAGAGACAGAGGCAGAGAGAGACCCACAGGGAGAGGGAGGGATAGAAAGGGAGGGGGGGTATGGGGTGGGGCCCAAACCACTGCAGTGAACCACCGTGGGTGGGAAGGGGCTGGTGGGACCCACCTTCCCAGCACACATCCAGTAGTGTTCTCTGGTTCCGGAGTGCATTTGGGTATGCACGTAGACGCCCCTCCCGCCCCATCTAGCCGCACAGTGGTTTACCTTTCACACCCATTAACCCAGTTATGCACCCAGTTAAACACTCGCTTCCACCGTTGGCCCCTAACAGCCCCTTTGCTGAGCCTGCTTCTGCAGAGCAAGGAATAGAATGCACTAATGAGGCAGGAGGGTGCAGGGCAAGGGTTTTCAGCACTAAGGGCAGGGCCAAGGGATAGACCAGGGGTGCTGAGAAAGCCCCCGATAGTGAAGAGAACCCCAATTCCACGCCTTCCCTTCCCCCTTTCCCAGTAGGCGGGGGCTGCTGCACTGAGCCATATCTGCAGAATCCGAAGCAGGGCGGGGGGGGGGGCCTGCGGGGGGGGGTGGGAACCCCCCCCGGGGGGGG